GGCAGTCATCATGTGTCGGAATCAACTACATGGTAGTGAGTTTGGGTTGTTTTTGTTGGGTGAGGGAGAGACGGAGTTCTGGTGGTGTAGTGGTTAAGCGCTCGGCTCTGCTAACATGCCGCTCAAAGGGAGAAAGATTCCGTAAGGACTGACAGCCTAAGAAACCCGATAGGGCGGTTCTAGTCTGTCCCATTGGGTTGCTGAGTCGGCACACAACAACAGGGCGAGGAAGAAAAGACCAAGCAAGATGTACCTGAAAAGTCAAGGGCAGCCAGGGACTTTAACAAGCTGGGTGTCGCCCAGAACCCAGGGCCACTCGGTGAATCGAAATCCCAAGAGAGCTTTTGGTAAGTCACTGGAGAAGGAAGTCGAGGAGGCAAAGCTGCTCCCGTCACGGTCTCAGACGAAGTGAAATAGTGCCCTTCACCAAGGAGGGCCAAGGGACAGGGTTGATGTTACCCAGCACCTGCTGCAGCCTTCAGCCGGGTCTGTTTAAGATCACTCTGAGGCCTGCAGACCTGAAGTGGAAAAACGACCGCGTCCGTGAAAGGCCCACGCACCACAGCTCGAACACCCCCACCAAATTCCACCTGACAGCCTGCTGCAACTCCGACGTGACGTAAAGCAGCGCGAGCTATCCTGACATTCTATTGGTCGTTGCCGCCCAATAGGAGGAGCGGTGCGCGACACCGCTGTTAGGTAGTCAGTCTGTCCAATGTCACCACCCCCTAACTAAGCGTCTCTGTGGTGATCGCTACCGGTCACCCAGTTGGCCTCCAAACCCGGATATGCGTCATTTTCTGTGCGCCGGAAACGAAAGGTCCGGTTGAAAATGCCCTGGTGTGCCGGAGCCGCACAAAGTTAAGACTGGTGGAGGCGATGTGAAAAGACAGCGGCGACAGCTCCTTTGCCGACCCCAGTGATAATGGCGGTGTTTCACGACGAGGTGGAGATCGAGGACTTCCAATATGACGAGGACTCGGAGTCGTATTTCTACCCCTGCCCGTGTGGTGATAACTTTTGTATTACCAAGGTAAAATCAGAGTCCCTTCTGGCGATTCGTCGGAACAGGCGCGACTTCGCTCTGGCGGATGTCTTACGCCGTTCTTACGTCGTTTTTGAGACTGTGGGTCACGGATGCTTTCTTTATCCTATTTCTGAGCCCTCCGTCTCCCAAGTTTAATACTCTGAGCTTGCAATGTGTGAAGGTACGTCGTTTGGCCTTCAGGCAGTCCAGAGTGGGAGGGTGACAATCGTTCCTTCTTTGAATTTTTTTTGGGGAGGAAAACTCACCGCCGTAAAGTCGGATCCGACTCATACCGACCCGTCCTTGGATTTCCGAGGCGATATCACTATGTAAGTAGATTGCCCAACCATTTTTGGAGGAAAGGACGCGTTTTTGTCTTTCCGGGGGTTTTGAGGCGGCCTTTCTGGGT